CGCTTACGCGCAGCATGCCAAAGCTGTCGATAGGCTCCTGAGCTAACTCTGCGCTAACTCATGTTACATAGTGTGCGTCAGCTACGCATCTTTAACCCTAAACCCTAAACCCTCAAACCCTAAACCCTCAAACCCTAAACCCTAAAACCTAGCGTTCCCTAGAGGCTCCAGTAAGGAGGTTGTGGTTGCAGCAGCTGCTGCAGCAAGGAGTGCTGTAGCTGCTGCAGCCCCATAAACGAGGAAAACCCTCAACAGCAGCAATATCCCCCCTGTTGCATGCATGCATGCATGCATGCATGCATGCACGAACAAAGCACTGAATTGATGTATATACTGTTCTCTTATTCGTTTATACTTTCATGCAGTTTAACTATCAAAGAAGAAAGTAGATACTGCTGCATCCTGGCTGCTGCTCTGCTCCTTTTCTGCGGTCCTCATAAGGCGTTCGATATCTCGTTGACTGTCATATATATATATATATATATATATATATATATATATATATATATATATATATATATATATATATATGTATGTATATATATATGCTATATAATCTAATATACAGTATACTACGTATCCCTGAGCTCCATATGCTAGTTGTTTTTCTCTCTTGGTACTCTGTTTACTTCAGTGCATTCAATATTTGCTTCAGGGCTATTCAGCGAGGTGTCTATACAGCTGGCTACTCCACCTAACAGCTGTACACTTCTTCAGAAAGCAAACGGCGTCACTACCTCTTAAAGCAGCAGCAGCAACTGCAGCAACAGCAGCTAGTAGAACAACAACACCAACTGCAGCAGCAGCAACACAAGCGAGTAGATAAGCAGCAACAGCAGCAGCAGCAGCAGCAGCAACAGCAGCAGCAGCAGCAGCAACAATTGTATTAACTAGCACCTCAAAACTTATCCGCCAGAAGTAGCCAAAGTCCGCAACTTGCAGAGCAGCGAAAAACAAAGATACGGAGAGATCAGTGCATGCATGCATGCAAGCGTGCATGCATGCATGCACAGTCTATCTATATCGCGTCTCCTTTATCGACTGTATAAACAAATAGCTTCACCATAAAGGAGACGAATAAACAAACAACGACGGAAACCAAAAACAAACAAAACCTCTTCTGCTTCCCTTCAACTCAACACCTGCTGCATTGCCCTCACACCCCACCAAACAGATGCACACATCATACGCATGCATCTTTACTGCATGCAGGATGCATCACGGGCCTGATACATGCATGCATGCATGCACATATGCATGTATGCATGCATGCATGTATGCATGCATGTATGCATGCATGCATATCTGCATGCATGCAGATGTGCATGCATGCATGCAGATATTTGCGGTGTCAGTGGCGTCTCCTCCTATCTTCTTCAACATTTCTTCTTTTTCGGGGTTGCTCTGCATCTGCTGCGTCTCTGGGCAGTTCACGGGTTCTGCTGTTGCTGCGCTCATGGTAGGTTTTGTGTATTTTCCTTGCTCTACCATCATCAGTTCTGTCCCTATCTCTGTCTCTATCTCTTTCTCTGTCTTTCTCTCTGTCTCTTTCTCTGTCTCTGTCTCTTTCTCTTTCTCTTTCTTTCTCCCTGTCTCTATCTCTTTCTCTGTCTCTTTCTCTTTCTCTTTCTCTCTCCCTCTCTCTGTCTCTGTCTCCTCTCTCTTTGTCTCGGGACGACGTGTGGTGACTGTCGTTATGGGTTCTAGAACTGCTGGAGCTGCTGCTGCTGCTGCTGCTGCTACTGCTGCTGCTGCTGCTGCTGCTAGTGTCATCATGCCTGCTGCTGCGGCTGCTGCGTTGCTTTGAGTCTGAAGACGCTGCAGTGGGCCTGGCCTGGCTCTCTCCACTCTTCAGCGACTCGAACACGAGCTTCACATGCAGCATATTTATATTCTTCACATCCTCCAACCCTCGCACGGTCTCATAAAACCTGAAGCAGCAGAAAACCCAGCGCAGCAAACTAAACTGCATGCATACACAGACGCAGGAATAAAGAAAAAGAAACAAGAGAGAGGTAGAAACACAGAAGGAAAGCAACAGAGAGATAAAGATACATGCATAGCTTGCTCCGTCTGTATGTAGAGAAACAACAATATAATTCTTACTGATTGAAAGAAAGCAAGGGGTCCTTGAAATCCAGCCCCGCTTTCTCTGCGCTGCGTCTAAGCGAATGTTTCAGCTGCTCGTGTTTATCCTTCAGCCGATCCACTGCATCACAAAACAACTCCCGCGGGGTGCTGCCGCTCTGCCCCACCATTGACGTGTACCGAGGGTCCTTCTCCACTCGACGCACGAAAGAAGCCCAATCTGTGCGGCTGCTCAGCTCGCCTAACACACACAAACACAACAAAAAACAAGAAAATAAAGTTAAAACATATATATATATATATATATATATATATANATATATATATATATATATATATATATATACATGTATATATATGGTGTTTATCAACAACATTCGGCGCCGGTGATATCGAATGCACTGATATAAACAGCTGAGAAAGAAGGTAGAACAAAACAAAGAGTAAACCACCACGAAAGAACGTAGAATGAACAAAGAAGAAATTTGAATGAAACCAGGCATAACCCCCTAGAAAAGAAAGCTGAATTGAACCAAGTGAAAGCAGCTAAGAAAGAAACAAGAAAGAAAGTTGAATGAACCCAGGCGAAACCTGAAAAGAAAAAAAGTTTAGTGTTTGTCTCCTCACCCTTATCTATTGCATCTTGCAATAGCTCTCTAAATGCATCTCTTCTTTTGCGTTCTTTGCGGAAATTCTGCGCCTGGCGTTGTTTTCTTTCTTGATCGTAGCCGTGACGAACCCACTCCTCCCACACCCTGAAGAAAGAACGTTGAGATGCAGCAGAGCAAACGAACAAAAAGTAATAGAAAAAAGAACGGAAACAAAAAAAACAAAGACAGAAAGAAAGAGAAAATAGCTGTGAAACTATATTCATAAAAAATACACTTACTGCAAGACGTCGATCTTCATCATGTTCTGCAGCTTGGGGTGTGAAAGCAGCTGCTCTTTCACATCATTCCACCTAATCAGAACACAACAGTACACAATAGAAGAAACTGATGAATGCAAATTGTATATTCTCTACGTGCATAGAAACTATCGATGGTTTATGCTGATCACCAACAGCTCTGCTGTTGTCGTCCTATACAGCTTTCAAATATGATAGAAGATACACCTACTTCTTCTGAAAAGGAAAATCCGCAGGATTCTGCTCTAGGATCTCCTCTAGCTGCAATGCAACACAAAAACACACACAAAAACAGTTTGCTTTCCTCCCCCTCAGGCGGTTCTCAAAAGAGCAGAGAAGAATCGCAGTGTTGAGGAATGAAAGAAAGAAGGCGAGAAATAGACTAAATTGAATCAATATACACAAGTGAGGGCCCCAAACTTCGATGAAAATAGAAAAGGAGTGCAGAATATCGGGGTTATGAAAACGGAAATAAAGAAGAAAACAACGAGCATTCAACAAATACTCGTCTAGGAAGAACAAGAAGAAAGCAAACGGACCATTGCTACATCCTCGCGTCTTCTTTGTTTTATTTTATCTTTAAACATTTGTTCGTTGTCGAACATCCACTCTTGAAAGAAATCATCTCTTTCGCTTTCTTGCATCCAAGTCCACCACTCTTCAAAATGAAAGCGATCAGCGACATCTCTGCAGAGAGAACGAAAAAAAAAATAAATTAAAACGAAATTAACAGAAATCCATGAAAATTATTACAGCAAATCTGAAAATAAAATATGAATAAATTAAAAAATAAATAAATGAACACGTACATGTAAGTCGTCTTGAAACTCAACTCCTTCCAACTCAGGAGATTCTGCACCATCAGATCTTTCGCCTGCAACAAAAAAAAAAAAAAAAAAAANAAAAAAAAAAAAAAAAAAAAAGTGACACGTCAAAGAGCCTTGTTTTTCAGAGGTGCCTATACACCGCGTGCCAAAGCTGCCTATACACCCCAGCTGAAAAACATGAATATGAGGAGAAAAAAGCACCTTCTTTCTCTTCTGGCGTTCTTCTTCTGCCGCTCGTTTCCCTCTTGATCCCATATATTCTGCAAATGTTTGCTTTCTTTCACCACGCGTCAAAATAGAAAAACAAGACCAACGTCTGTCGGATTCGAGGATCTTTGATGCATTCTCCCAGCTGATCCTCGGCGGAAACTTCTTCAGATCAAACAATTTCTGAACACCGCAAAAAAAAAGTAACAACAGTAACAATAATAACAAAACTAACAATAAAGTGCGCGTTTCAATGCCCCAACAAGAGTAATTACACCCCGAAATTCCTAATCGTAAGCACAGCATGCAGCCCCGTAATATAACAAATCCTTGCAAGGTTTGCCTCTGCGGAGAGCCGTTTGAACCCAACCCAATAAGCCCACTGAATCCAGAAGACTCACAACAAGGAAGCTCTTGGCTTCATCCTTGGTTTTAAACTGCGGCCAATCTTCGCGCTCCTCTTTGAGCGACTGCACGAAAAAAGAAACCAGAAAGCAGAGGAAACTGTGCATCATCACCTGTCACTACAGTGGAAATGCAGCGAGAAATGCAGCTAGTAGAGCGACGAAAACAACTGAAAAGAGAATGGATTCAACTAACACACCTTCAGCATCTCCTGCACCTCCTTGGGGGTGCTCCATACACTCCGCTTGGTGGCGCTGTGAAACCAATATGTTTTTCCATCTGCACTAGAAAACTCCTGCCAGCCCGTCTTAAGGAGAATCTGTGCCTCCTCGGGCGTCTGTAGCGACAGCGGCTTCCCCCACTGGCTTTCTTGTGTCTGTACACCCGCAGTAAGCGCACAGCAAAGGGTTTCGCCCCTACAAATGATGATGATGCTGCTGTATAGAGAACACGTAATAGACAAACACATTCACATTCTCCTGATGTCTTCAGAAACAATGCGTGAAAAGTAATGCCAGTAGGAAAGAAGCAGGCGTCGCTGCTGCTGCTGCTACTGCTGCTGCTGCTGCTGCTGCTGCTGCTGCTGTAAACGCACCAATGTGTTGTAGTAGTATTTCCTCCCCTCCTTCGATATATGCTCTGTCCAGCCATCTCCGCTGGTGATCATTGATGGGGTTGCAATGAATGGATCCATTGTCTGTCAGAAAGCATTACATAAATAAATAAATAAATAAAATAAATAATAAAAATAAAAGTGAAATACTGGTGGTTTTCTCGGCAGTCTATGTGAACACAATGCTGCAGCTGCATGTACACCCCAACCCAGCCAGCTGATGCTGCAGCGTCACCAACAAGCCACAGTTTGTTTTTCTCACTCTCTGCATTTCAAAGATTCAGGCCGACAAAACAAAACTGTTGAGACCCCAGCCAAAGATAGCGTTTGCATGCAGCTGCAGCATACTACTACCCCTAAAGGGGGCAGCAGCAGCAGCAGCAGCAGCAGCTCTGAGTGCAGCCACGCAGAAAACCCTACATGCAACGGTCACTGAGCGGGGTGAAGCCTCAGGCCGGAAAACTCGCAGGCTGCCTCCAGTTGACGAAGCAGCAAAATGTAGTTTCATGAAGAAAGAGGAAGAAAGAAGAAATAAAAAACTAAAAACTGAAAGCAACCAGCTGTAAGTTGTACTAGAAGAAATGCTATGCAAAATATTTGCTTTTAGTCTGTCGAGACACCTGAAAGCAACTCTGTGCTGCTGCTGCAAGTGTTAGCTATCCTAGAAGCAAAAAAAAGGGACAAGGGGCTGAGATAATTAAGTGGTTATTTATATTAGTTTTCTTGTTTTGATGTGCAACTACAACAAACTCTGCTGAAAAAAAAAGAAGAACAAAGAAAGGCCTACTACATCTATGGAGGATAAACTCTCCAGCTAAGCGCTCCGCCGCAGAGACTGCGGCCGCCGCAGCAGCGGCTGTTGCAGTCGCCGCATTCTGTTTGCAACTCCATTGATGAATGATGAATATATGAGTACTGGCTTAAAATAATGCATAGTCACGCCAGCAAAAGTGTACTGTGTGTGCTGAGAGAGGCAGAAGAGCAGCAACCACCAGAACAACTGCCGCAGTTACTTCACACAGTCAAGCCTTTCCGTCACCTGATGCTCGCCGAGAAAAAAAGAAACAAAACAAACTTAAGAAACAGGTACGCCTGCCTCAACTTACAACGATCCACCCCATACTGCGCCAGCAGTGCTTACTTACACACCCCTAAGCGCCTCAGCCAACGATTCAAGTTGGCGAGAGAAAGTCCTCTCAAAGAATATCTGTTGACGCTCAAAAGCAAAGCTTTTGCGTAACTTACAACCAGCGCATTCAACAAGAAAACCAGTTGGGTGCAATGACGCTTCCGCCCGCACGGGGGGCTTGCACAGCAACACGATTCACTCACGAACTGTCGGAAAACAGCAGGAAAGATCGAGATGTGGAGAATAAAAGAATAAAAATACAAAAAAATAAACTGGTTATTGAGGGAAATGGAAGTTCCCACCGCCGGCCTCAAGCGGAGGGTTGATCTGTGCAGAGCTGCGCATACACCCCGTGAGGTCAACGCACCTGAACATGAATCCTTGTGGGTTTCTTCGGAATCAGGAGCTAAAAAGAAGAGAAAAGTCTTCTTATATCTATTTGATTCACCTCGTTCAAGAAAGCGGTGCCTATGAGGTGCTGAACCGGCCAGAGGCCGCGTCCTCTTTGAACGCCAGCAACGCCCAGTCTAGGGTTGAAATAAGCTGAGAAACACGGGAAATATCTCGAGATCTCTTTGCTGTTTCGCTCACAGCAACAGAGAAAAACCCGAAATTATGCAAAAAAAGAAGAAATTCAAGTATTCATGTTCACTCGTTTCAGCAGTATATTCTGAACAACACGAACGGCCGCCGCTGCGCCGCCGCCAGCCCCATCCATCCCCACGGTAGCCTTTTCCTTCTTTGTAATATATCGAGTGTAAGTTTGTTTGTTTGCATGCGTTTAGTGCATTAGCTTTTGTAATTTCTTCTTGCATGCAGCCATTTGTTTTCAGTTTCTCTCTCGCAAATACAACCACACAAGGATATCTAAACGCTCTAGGTTTCTGCTTCTCTATCACTTCCTCTGCTGCTGTAGCGGCTGTCACCGCTCTGTTAATTCTTTATATTTCATTGGTTTTTATTTTCTTCTGTTTTAAGCAAACAAAAGATCGAGATACACTGCCGTGTTGCTGCTGCACTCTCTCGTGCTGCTGCTACCGGGTGGTGTTTCACTACACCCCTGCTTCTGCTGCTTCTCTGCTGCAGCTGCGGCAGCAGCACTTGCTGCTGCTGCTCTCCTGCTTCCTCTTTCAAACACAAACAAAGCAATGAAAGCTGCGGCCGTGTAGGCGCTGCTGTCGATAGTAGTGCTGGCTGCTGAGCAGCTGAAGACAGACAAATGATGCAAGGAGCGGGCTTGGGGGGCCCCCCACCCCTGGGGGCCCCTACAGGCTGTTTGGGTTCAGATATGCAGGGCCCCTACTCAGACATGCAGCAGCAGCAGCAGCAGCAGCAGCAGCATGCGGGGCTTCTTGCTTCTCATCCTGGTGAGCTTTGCTTTGCTGCTACTATTCTTTTTCTCTTTCTCTCTGCTGTGTTGTTTATTTAAACTAATAAATTTTTTTTTTATAATTAATATAATATACAGCAGCAGCAACACAAAGACAACAATAACTTCTTTTTCACTACAACAAGATATTAACTATCCTTAATATATATCTGCTGCTTCTGTTTCTGCTGCTATTTCTGCTGCTGTTTCTCCTGCTGTTGCTGCTGCTGCTGCTGCTGCTGCTGCTGTTGCTGCTGCTGCTGCTGGTGTTGCTGCTGCAGCAGAAGACCCTGCAACGGAGTTTTTTATAATTCGTTCTTGTTCAGAGTATAACGTTCAGGTGGCAATGCAGATGGGGGTGTGGGCCACCATACCCAGAAACGAAGGCCGCCTCACGCAGGCCGTGCGGGTAAGCAAAGGGGGGGTGGGGGGGGGGGGGGNTTTTTTTTTTTTTATTATTTTTTTTTTTGTTAGTTTGGGCGGGGGAGGGGGTTTGTTGTGGTGGTGGTGGGGTTGTTTCTTTGGGGTTGTTTTGTTGGTGGTGTGTTTTGCTTTTTTCTGGTTTATATAAAAAGTAAAATTAATATATTTTTGTTTGCATGCATGCATGCATGCATATGTGCATGCATATTTATTATATTTTTGTTTGCATGCATGCACGCAGCAGCAAGCCCCACAAACATATTATTATTATATTTGTGTTTGCATGCATGCATGCATGCATATATGCATGCACATTTATTTTTTTTTTTGTGTGCATGCATGCATGCATGCAGGAAGCCCCACACGTTCTCCTCTTTTTTAGGGTTCAAGGATCCCAGTCTTGGGCGGGCTACGCCCGCATGCGTAACGCACCAGGTAAACAAAAAAAAAAAACAAAAAAACTTTTTCTTTTTTTTTCTTTTTGTTTTTTTCTCTTTGTTTTAGGGTTTAGGGTTTAGGGTTTAGGGTTTATTGTATTGTAAAAGAGATATAACTCAGTTTAAAAATATTAAAAGATATTATTACATTTTATACTAGTTAGGGTTTAGGGTTTAGGGTTTTCAGGGTTTAGGGTTTTTAGGGTTTTTAGGGTTTTTAGGGTTTAGGGTTTAGGATGCTGTTAGTTGAGCCTGTTGTATTTGTTGTTTTTCTTTTGGTTTGTTGCATGCGTTTATATTCTTGTATTTGTTTGTCTCTCTTTCTTTCTCTCTTTCTCTTTCTTTCTCTCTTTCTCTTTCTCTCTTTCCTTCTCTCTCTTTCTCTTTCTTTCTTTCTCTCTCTGTCTCTTTCTGTGCCTTTCAGTCTTTCTCTTTCTTTCTGTTTCTTTCTGTCTCCTTTTTTTTTATTTTTTCTGTCTCTTTCTGTCCCTTTTATTTATATTTATATTTATTTATATATATTTATATATATTTATATATATTTATATATATTTATATATATTTATATTTATTTATATATTTATATATTTATATATATTTATATTTTTTCTACTCAGGCGAAGGCAGCAAGCCTTCTAGTGTCTTCTCAGGCCGCAGCGGCCGTCCCTTTGTGGGCCTTTCCTTCGACATAGACTGGCTCAGCAAGTCAGCCGCCAGGGTCTAGGGTTTAGGGTTTAGGGTTTATAAGGGTTTAGGGTTTAGGGTTTAGGGTTCATAAGGGTTTAGGGTTTAGGGTTTATCAGGGTTTAGGGTTTAGGTGTTTAGGGTTTAGGTGTTTAGGGTTTAGGTGTTTAGGGTTTAGGTGTTTAGGGTTTATCAGGGTTTAGGGGTTTAGGGTTTAGGGTTTAGGGGTTTAGGGGTTTAGGGTTTAGGGTTTAGGGGTTTAGCAGGGTTTAGGGTTTAGGGTTTATCAGGGTTTAGGTTTTAGGGTTTACGTGTGTAACTAGTGTGTGTATTTGTTTATTGTTTATTGTTTATTGTTTACATGTGTGGCTATGGTCTAGGGTTTTAGGGTTTAGGGTTTAGGGTTTAGGGTTTAGCGTATGCAGCAGCTCGAAATTGTGTTTTTCAATAATTTGTTCATTTATTTTTTTATTCATTTTTATTATTTTAATTAATTATTTTTACTATACATACATACATACATACATACATATATATATATATATATATATATATATATATATATATATATATA